ATCGCATGAATAACCTATTACTGGCCACACAGACATTAGCCTGGGGCTCTGTGTCTGAGGATTTAGGAATGTAATGGTCTGGTCCCACTGGTTGGAGTAGGTGGGAGGAGCTTCTCTTGGCCTTAAACATATTCCCTTTTTCATTGCATGGTTATTTCTATGACACCTACTAAGTGCCAGGCATTGTACATATTTAGGGAATTGGCAGGGATGGTTGGGATTTATAACTGTCCTGTAACCGACTCTATAATTCTAGCAGGGTTTTGTGGCACAGACAGGTGCCTTCAGTGGCCCACATGATGGCCATAGACTCCCTCAGATGAGGCAGATATATGCCACCCTCAGCCCTTGCCATGGGTGCAGGAGGGAGAGTGGACATGTCCGTCTATATCCCTGTGATGTCAGGCTGGATGCATGCTGTGCTGCAGATGAGGCAGTGTATGGGCAGTGTGGAGAGTTGCAACAGTTGGATAGGAAAAGAAGTTCCCCTTGGAATCCAGGCTTGTGTGGACTTTTTATTGCTGCTCACATACTCTCTGACTTCTGCTGGTAGAACATCCCCTAAAGATCACATGGAGGTCTGGGAATAAACCTTAATTTGTAGAGTATGCCTAGTTCAAGCCCCAGGATTGCACAGAAAAGGCATGGTGATAAACTGTCAGCACTGGGAAGGTGGAAGCAGAAGGATCAGGAGTTCAAGATCATCTTCCCCTACATGGAAAGTTCAAGGCCAGCATGAGCTGCACATGGCAAAAAAAAAAAAAAAAAAAAAAAAAAAAAAATCACCTGGAAAACCAAGGCAGAGAAGTCTGGCATTCTACCATTCTACCTCCCACTTTGGCCCTGTGGATTGTCCCCCCAGATTATATCTCAGTCATGGGTTTTGTACTAAATTGATCTTTGTTGCTGTGATAAACACCATGACCAAAACAATTTAGGAGGGAAAGGGCTTATTTGGCTTGCATTTCCAGGTAGCAGTCTGTCACGGGTCTCAAGCAGCAGCACAGGCAGGAGAGTGCTACTCACTGCCTTGCCTGCGTGTGTGCCTGCAGGCCAGAAGACAGTACCAGATCTCATTACAGATGGTTGTGAGCCACCATGTGGTTGCTGGGAATTGAATTCAGGTCCTCTGGAAGAGCAGCCAGTGTTCTTAACTCCTGAGCCATCTCTCCAGCCCCAAAAGTCCTGTTCTTTGGGACATTTTTTTTTTTTTTTTTTTGGAGGGGAGTTTCAAGACATGGGTTTACTATGTAGCCTTGGCTGTCCTGGAACTCTCTGTATAGACCAGGCTGATCTCAAACTTAAGGGGATCACCTACCTTTGCCTCCCAAATGCTGGAATTAAAGGCCTCCCATCAGCCAGCTTTCTTATATGACTCAGGACCATTGTCCTGGGTCCAGGGACTACACTGCCCCACTGTGAGCTGGGCCTTCCTACATCCATCAAGACAGCTCCCCACAGGCCAGTCTGATTTGGGCAGTCCCTCAGTTGATACTCCTCTTTCCATGTGACTCTTGACTGTGTCAAGTTGACAGAGTTACTTAGGACACAGACCCACCCATACGATAAGTATCTACCCAGGGAATGAGAGCGAGGATAATCACAGGCAGTGGGGAGCAAGTCCTTCCACCCAACAGTTGGGAGTCATGCCAGATTCTAGGAGATGCCTAAGCTTGACCACTGCCCCTTTTCTTCCCTTGACAGGACAGAGTCTGAATTGCCCAAACCAGCTTCCCCCAAGGTCAGCAGGAACCCCATGGAAACGGCTGCTTCAGCAGAGGACACGACTCGGAGGAGTAAGTTGGGTGTGGGAGAGGGGAGCTGGAGAGCCTAACTTCCAGTCCTCCCCTGTCTTTAGACCACCAGAAAGGCCGGCAATAGTGAGAAAAGAAGCCAGATGCTTAGGGTTTGCTGCCTGGCACTCTAGACCACGTTCCAGCTCTTACCCCATAGGCAAATGCCTCAGCACCCTCCTGTGTAGTATAAGCTGTAATTGCCCTGACCTTGAAGAGCTTCGTGAGCTGGGACCTCAAGGAGTGTGCTGGACTCCATCACACAGAAAGTGCTAGAGAAAGGTAGCCGGTGTGAGCATGGTGGGTGGTCCAGCCCTCTAGAAGCCCAGGGACTACAAAGCACAGGGCCAAAACCATATTTAAGGGTAGAAGGAAGAAAGAGGTTTGGGAGGAATCCTGGAGCCTCCTGAGCTCTTTTGGCATACTCATATGTCAACCTGGCCCAGAATGGACAGGTGAGGGGCCAAGGATCCATGTGGGAACCGGATCACTGGCGAGTCCCCGGCCCATAGGTCCTGAGGACGAGGGGGTTTAGGGCTGGGCACATCATGTAAAGCTAGGAGAGCAGCAGAGGGACACACAGGGACCTGTAAGACAGAAACTGCTAGAGTCACCAGACCTGGCCCTAATAGCTGTGGGAGGCTGGGGCTCTCACCCCGTCCCACCAGTGAGGATATGGGGCAAATGAAGCACTCTAGAGGGCCAGGGAGAGCTTTGGCCTCAGCTCCACTTAGCACACACACACCCCACCCCACCCCACCAGCTGCCTCACGAGGTCCAAACTTGCCCAAGGACCTGGGACTTCTGAGAGGCAAGCAGGACCCAAGTGTCGGTAGGAACAGTTGATGTTTATATAGTCAGCAGATGTGTACCCACAATTGCTCGACACCTAGACTGTGATAACAGTGGCCGTGTTGGGTGTGTGTTCTAGGGAGAGGCACTAGTAAGGACCAAGTAAGATAAAAATGGACAAGACCATTTCAGATGACAGATCCTCTGAAGCCATTAGAAGTGGGTGTTACTGTGGTGGGCTCTGGGGGGACCTACTGTAAGCTGAGATATTGAGGAACATGCAGGAGTAATGATGAGGACCCACTGTGGAATGCGACCCCACCCCACAGGAGGAATGCACACAGACTCATGAACCCTAACCTTCCTCTGTTTTGCTTCCTCCACAGCCAAGCGCCCGGCACCAGCGCGGCCTACCATGCCACCTCCCCAGCCCTCCAGTTCACGCTCATCCCCTCCAGCCCCCTCCCTGCCCTCTGGCTCTGGCAGCCCTGGCACTCCCCAAGCTCTGCCACGCCGTCTAGTGGGCACCAGCCTCCGGGCCCCCACGGTGCCTCCCCCATTACCCCCTGTTCCTCCACAGCCTGCCCGGCGCCAGAGCCGGCGCTTACCAGCCTTCCCCAGCCCTGCTTCTCCTGGCCTAGTCATTTCAAGCATGCCTGCTCAGGTGGACCAAGGAGTGGCTACAGAGGACACAGGAGGCCCCGGGACTCTGGGTGGACATCCCACCCCCCCAATTCTGCCACCCCAGCCCCGGCCCAGGGGTCTCACCTCAGAGACAGATTGAGCAGGCCCTCCTGCCTGACAAGTACTCAATGTCCCCACCCTCCCTCCCTCCCTTGTCCTCCCAGGACAGCCTGAGCCCTGTGCCTAGGTGCCTGCTGGGTTGGCCCCCATGGCTAGGAGGGCTCAGGACAGCCTTCTACTTTCTGACCTTTTCTTCCACTTTGAACTTGGGGGCTCTGACCTGACCTCTCCCCCCATCTGGCAGGGTCTCAAGGGAGCTACCAGAAGGAAGGATGGACTTGCCCATTCCACAGGACTTTTATTTTTCTCTTGCCAATGTATTTTTGTAAGGCTAGTAAATAAATTATTTTTAACAAAACTGGAGCAACTGGTCCAGCAATAGCTTTCTCTCCTAGAGATACTGAATCTGCTTCCAACCCAAGACAGTTGCTCTGTTTCTTAGGATCATGCGTTCCTCCTCTGAGACAGTCTGGAAATTACACCCTATCTGTTCTGAAGACCAAAGCACTCATTCACATACACATAAACAACTTTCCCAAGGATCCATCTTCCCATGACCTTCCTCAGTTGCTCTGAGCCATCCAGATCTATACTAGAGGAACTTTTGGGAATAGGCAGGCAGAAATGACAGAATCAAAGGAACTGGAAGCCCAATTTAGTAGCCTCTGAAGGAGGTGACAGATGAAGTCATCCTGACACTAGCCAGGTGAAAAGGCTGAAGGAAAAAGTAGGTACATTTCAGATCAAGGAAATTGCTTATAAAAGGCACCTGGAACAGAGAACATTTGGCCCTCAAAGGCAGGGTTTTACCCTGGTCTCAACTTCAGTTACTCTGGAGGTTGGACAACCACAAAATTGTGACAATACAAGTCCTGATTCATTCCTGGTCCCACACTGGTTATTCAAAGGCGCAATAGACTAAAAGGCCCCATCTACAAACTAAAGGTCTAAGCAGCTATGTCGCCCAAACAACAATATAGCAAAATAATGCCCGGGCTCCACAAACAAAAACATAAAATCAAATCTCTGGGCTCCTTTCTTATATCCGTGCATTAGAATGTTTTAGCATTTATTTTGAGTATGTCTTACATGTGGATGCCCATGTGGAGGTCAGAAAATGACTTGCAGGAGTATGTTCTCTCCACTGTGAGGAGCCATCTCGCTGATCCTGCATCTGTGTTCTTAAAAGCATTTATCTACAGCCATCGACCTGTACATTAAAGATTACACATCTTACATTTTGCAAATTATACAAAAAAACCCAAAAAATCTACAAGTTCCTCAGGGGACTCCAAGGACCCAAGGAACACTGACTTGGCCCAAAAGTTCAAAGCCTAAGAAATCACCAGTAATCTGGCCTCGCTCCACCACATCCACTCGTTCATCAGGACTTGACTTGGAACCAGGGCCTCAATGGTTCCGAGAGTAACGCGATCTGGCCGGAAGACAAACATCTCTCATCTCTCTTTGCCTCTGTTTTCCTCCTAGCAACCAGTCGGCCTAAGCTTCTAATTGGTTGAGAAGCTCGCTCCAGACTAGGCTGGCTCTCCATGTCCCGCCCCTTTCTCCGAATCCCTTCGGGATCGGCTCGGGCCCTCGGCTATTCTCTCGCTGCCATTGGCTGAGCCGTGCGGTCGTAGCCCCGCCCTTGGCCCGTCCTACGCGCCAATTGGTAGAGCCGGCCCGTGGCCGCAGAGGGAGCACGGCGCGCGCGTACGAGCGGCCAGCCGGCTGCATGGCTCGCTGCGAGCGGCTGCGTGGCGCGGCCCTGCGCGAGGTACTGGGCCAGGCGCAGGGCGTCTTGTTCGACTGTGACGGGGTGCTGTGGAACGGCGAGCGTACCGTACCCGGCGCCCCCGAGTTGCTGCAGCGGCTGGCGCGGGCGGGCAAGGCCACACTGTTCGTGAGCAACAACAGCCGGCGCGCGCGACCGGAGCTGGCGCTGCGCTTCACCCGCCTGGGCTTTGCGGGGCTGCGCGCTGAGCAGCTCTTCAGCTCAGCGCTGTGTGCCGCGCGCCTGCTGTGCCAGCGTCTGCCGGGGCAGCCCGACGCACCGGGCACTGTGTTCGTGCTGGGCGGTGAAGGGCTGCGCGCTGAGCTGCGTGCCGCGGGACTGCGCCTGGCGGGGGACCCCGGCGACGACGACACGCGCGTGCGCGCTGTGCTCGTGGGCTACGACGAGCACTTCTCCTTCGCCAGGCTGAGCGAGGCGTGCGCGCACCTGCGCGACCCCGACTGCCTGCTCGTAGCCACCGATCGCGACCCTTGGCACCCACTCAGCGACGGAAGCCGGACCCCCGGTGAGCGTGGAACTAGGCGCCGGAACATGTTCAGGGCCCCGCCGCGCGTCTCGTAATTGCTGAAACTGCTGCCCGTGAGGGGTAGTGGCCGAGGACCCGTTTGACAGACGAGCCAGCTGAGGCTCACTATGGCTTAGGGAATTTCAGGTGGGATCCAGGTTTGGAACTGGCCTCCTGGGCTTTTGTCATTGGCCCCACCCACTTTGCAGGTGGGTTTGTAGAAGCGGCCTGATCCGTTTGGAGACTGGAGGGTCGTGGAGCTTGACCTCAGTTCCAGATCTGGCTGTACTTGGTTAACCCTGTGGAGTTACATAACATCGGAGCATTCTGGGTGCGAGTGGGTCTCCACGCCATGCCAGTCATTCCAGAGTCCCTGACTGGAGGTTCATGTCTCCAGCCCTTGGTAGCTTTCTGAAACCTCTTAATGCTGTTTTTTACTTTCTAGGTTACTCATAAGAATGTTGGCCCATTTCTCTCTCTCTCCTCTCCTCTCTTTTGCTTGTTTGTTTTTGGGTTTTGTTTTTTTTCGAGACAGGGTTTCTTTGTATTGTTTTGGAGCCTGTTCGGGAACTAGCTCCGTAGACCAGGCTGGCCTCGAACTCCCAGAAATCCTCCTGCTTCTGCTTCTCGAGCGCTGAGTTTAAAGGCATTTGCCTCCAATGCCAGACTCCTTTTCTCAATTATAGAAATCGAGGCTGAGAGAGGAGAAGTGAGCTGCCAGAGAACATACATTGAGCATAGAGTAGGTGAACTTGGCCTTGGGAACACCCCTCCCCCATCCATCCATCCATCCATCCATCCATCCATCCATCGGCATGCCAGGCTGGTTACTGAGGATACTCACTCCTGCATCTAGACAGGAACAGTGAGGGTTGGAGTGAGTCAGGAGGTGGAGGGAGCAGCAGCTATCAGGTAGTGATGACTGGATACAGACAGATTCCGTACCCTAGGATGTGGCATGGACATATCTTTGCCACTCCATTCTGCTGGTCTTTCACCCAAATAGTCATTGGTACCAAATCCTGGGAGGGAGTGGGGTTCTGCAGGGTGGCATTGCAGGAAGTGAGGTAGTCACAGCTTTGTGAAGGTGTGTGTAGAGACAGGATCTGGGAAACTTCCTGGAGGAGGCATGCTGCAGGGCAGGGTGACAGTGAACAAGGAGATACTGGCATACTGTTAGGATGGTGTAGTCGAAAGGGAAGCTGTTGTCTGGGCCTTTCCTGGCTGCTGGTTCTGCCTTAGACCTACTTTCTGCCCATTGTATGCACCTTTTCCCCCGTAATAAGGGAGAGGTTACAGCTGCAGCATCCCTTCCCACACCATGCTACTAACAAGCCAGATTTCCCTCAGAGATTAGGTTGAGGCTGTGGGACAAGGGCTTCTCCAGGGTCTCAGAAAGTAATGTGAGGAACTTGTGAGAGACCTGACCTATCTATCCCAGGCTTCTGCAGGAACCTTCCTGACTTCTGATTCCATACCCATCTAGCTGTACTCACCCAACCTGCTGGTCACTTCTCCTGCCTGGAGGGGGAGACAGAGCCTAACAAACACAGACTTAAGCCACATTTGTGAATGATGCAGCTTCCTAATCATGTTGTTAACAAACACCTAGTAGGTGGTTGTGGAGCAGGCCTTTAGTCCCTGCTCAGAAGGCAGAGGCAGACAGATCTCTGTGAGTTCAAGGCTAGCCTGATCTATAGAGCTAGTTCCAGGACAGCCAGAGGTACACAAAGAAACCCTGTCTCCAAAAGCATAAAAACAAAAAACCTTACTGGTTATATGTCAGTAATCTAGGAGCAGAAGGAGCTAGACAAGCAAAAATTAATGAAGGTCCCATTATGCATCAGATTCGAAATAATGTGAAACCACACCACAATTCTCCCTCCTTATCATAGGCCTATGAAATTGTGTGCATGTTTGCTTGAACTGACAAGTAGAAATGGCCACAAGAATAGGAATATGCCATTGCATATATATGCTTTAAGTGTTACAGTCATGGGCTTATATTCCCAACACTTAGGAGGTTGAGGCAGGAGGATCAGGAGTTCAAAGCCAGTATGGGCAACGTTAAGATCTAGTCTTGCCAGCTGGGTGATAGTGGCGCAAGCTTTTAATCCCAGCACTCAGGAGACAGGGCAGGTGGATCTCTGAGTTTGAGGCCAGCCTGGTCTACAGAGTGAGTTCCAGGACAGGCTCCAAAGCCACAGAGAAGCCCAGCTGGCAAGACTGGATCTGGGTGGAGACTCCCATCCTACACGGATCCTTTAACAGGGTACAATTGGTTCTTCCCCCTCATGAGCACACAAGGCTGGGGCTGGGGTGGTGGTGCAGCACAGGTGAGGGAGGCGCCTGGCCCTGGGTCCCCCAGCACTGCCTGCTCTGATGTGACACAGCCCTCCTTGTCTGAGGGTTCTTGCTGTGACTGGTGTAGTGCAGTGATGTAGCTGTCTATGAGCGTGGAGAGAGGAGGCCCTGAGTGTTTGGGGTCAGGCTGAGGTAAGAAATATTTAATTGCAGGAGGGCCTTGATTTATACCCCAGAGTGATACCTGGTAGAAGAAACACTCCCTTGTTGGATGAAGTGTGAATTGCCACAGTCACCTCAAGAACCCAGCAAAATTAGAGGAGGTGGCGAACATACTTTATTGTAAATAATTCATTCTGATGTTTTGCTTTGTTTTTGAGACAGGGTTTCACTGTGTATGTAGCCCAGTGTAGCCTGTCACTGAGCATCCTGCCTCAGGCTCTTGAATGCAAGCCATTATGCTAATCCCAAGTGTGTTAGTTTCTTTTCTGTTACCGTGTAAGGCACCATGACCAAGGCAATTTATAGAAGAAAGGGTTGCCGGGCAGTGGTGGCACAAACCTTTAATCCCAGCACTCAGAAGCAGGCAAAGCTCTATGAGTTCAAGGCCAGCCTGATCTACAAAGGGAGTTCCAGGGCAAGCTCCATAGCTACTGAGAAACTCTGTCTTGAAAAACAAAAGGTTTACTTGGGTTTGTAGTCCCAGAGAGATAAAAGTCAATGATAGCAGAACAGAGGTGACAGCTTGGTAGCTAGGACAGCAAGATGAAAGCTCAAACTGCAAGCAGGAAGTTGAAAGCGAACATTGGAGACAGTGGGAGACTGTTTAAAGCCTGCCCCCAGTGATGCACTTCCTCCAGGAGAGCCAGCCTCTTAAATATCCAAACACCAACTGAGGAGCATGCTCCAGTGACCACGACTGTGAGGGGTAATCTCACTCAAACCACCACACAGAAAGCTCAGCTCTAGTGGGTTTCTCTTTTCCTTCCTTCCTTCCTCCCTCCCTCCTCCCCTTCCTCCCTCCCTCTCTCTCCTTTCTTTCCCTTTTATTTGGGGGGGGGTAGTGGTTGTAAGGTTTGAGACAGGGTTTCTCTGTGTAGCCCTGACTGTTCCTGGAACTCACTCTGTAGACCAAGCTGGCCTCAAACTCAAAAATCCACCTGCCTCTGTCTCCCAATTGCTGGGACTAAAGGCGTGCACCATCACCATCCGGCTCTTTGGGCAGGTTTCTTAATGTCACAGAGCCTCAGCTTTTTAATCTGTGAAATGGGCTTTCAGGAGTACACAGTAAATGGTGGTGCTTCTCTTTTGTTTAATTATGGATGTTGGTGTAAAGGCGGGATGTTCTGGCACAAGGGTGTGCCTGTGGGCAGGAATAGCAGACTCAGTGTGCCAGCAGGATGGTGCTGGCTGTGGGGCGGGATTGTGCTTTTCTAAACAGACCTCCCATTGTCTGGCTCTTGGGCTCCTCCCCAGCTTTGGTTACTTCCCATGGTCACTGGTCACAGACATCTTCCAGCCTGTAGCTTTTTGTCTCCAGATGGAATTTTCTCTGGGGGATTGTTTTTCCCACAGGCTGACTGGGTCAGAGGTGTGGACATTTCTGTGCCTTGCTGCATTCCAGGTGGGCTGTGCCAATTTTCCATGCCAGGAGCATGGCTTCTTGGAACAGTAACCACCATTGCTGCCTAAATGCTTTTCCATTTACAAAGTGCCTCTCTGTAAGGCCCACTGCATCCCTTCAGGGGACGTGGTACTTAATCCCATTGTACCACAGTTTGAAGAAAGAGAGGCTGAAGGGCTTGCCCAAAAACACAGCTGCCCTGCAGAACTGATAGCACAAGCCCGTTTACACACACAAGCCTGTTCACACACAGGCTTACAGTACACACAGGAGGGGACTGCCATTACCACCTTCATGTTAGAGGGAGAAGCTAAGCTTACAGTGTATCCAGTGCAGTGGTGATGGATTCTGAATTCAGGAGTCTGGAACAGGTAGTGCCCAGCCTTTAGGTCAGGCCCAACTGCTGCCCTCCTGCTGACCAAGTGTCCCCTATTCACAGGTACTGGAAGCCTGGCTGTGGCAGTGGAGACAGCCTCAGGACGCCAAGCCCTGGTGGTGGGCAAACCCAGCCCCTACATGTTCCAGTGCATCACCGAAGACTTCAGCGTGGACCCCGCCCGCACACTGATGGTGGGTGACCGTCTAGAGACCGACATCCTCTTTGGCCACCGCTGTGGCATGACCACCGTGCTCACGCTCACAGGGGTCTCACGCCTCGAAGAAGCCCAGGCTTACCTGGCAGCTGGTCAACATGACCTTGTACCTCACTACTATGTGGAGAGCATTGCGGACTTGATGGAGGGCCTGGATGACTGAGCTCCCCTCCCCTACCCCAATCCTGTAGATGGGGCCTCCAGGCCATGAGTCACATTCAACACCATGAGCTCCCTTGCACAGGTGCCTATTCTCCAGTGAAGGGAAGCTGGGATCCAGGAAGGTTTGTGGGCTATCATAACCCTCCCAGCAATGGCTTGACACTACTGTTCAGAAGCTGCCCCCCCACAGCTTGAAGGTTCACCCTGGCCTGACCCCACCAGGTGGCCTTATTTCTTGCCCTGTCTCCTCCCTTCTTGAACTATATATGGGCCCTGAAGCCAAATGAAAATTTTCTCCAACCCTGAGTACTTAGGCTCCTCCCCTTCTCTGGGACCTCTAGTGCTCTGACCTATGTCCTTGTTGACCAATCAGAGGTGTAGGGAACTCCAGCCCCATTCTTGGCCTTTGTCTCACAGCGGGCCCTTAGTGGACCAAGTAGCAGCATATCCTGGAGCTCCAAAGCATCAATCAGAAGGCTAAGTGACATTGATTGCTGGATATCCATCAGGACCATAACAATCCACTGGCCTCTCAGATCCCAAATACAACAATTTTCAAAGTCCGAAACACGGTGGCTTTTTGACAATCCTGGCCTGACTGGATCAGCCAAGGGATCGGGTCCTAGCAGGGCAGGGTGATGAATGCCTGTACTTTTATAGCACTTTGGAGGCTGAAGCAGAAGGATTGCTCTGAGTTTGGTGATTTGGGTTGCAGAGTGAGACCTCATCTCAAAAAGATCAACAGACCAACTTCAAAGTCAAGTTTCTTCAGGAACTGATCGGTGGAATGGCAAGGCTCCCACCATAGTACTGTCCAGTGTTGATGGTTGCCACAGCTTGAAAGGGGGCCCTCATGCCCTACCCATTGCACTCAGTGCTTGCTGTGCCGCCATCTAGCTGCCCATACCCAGCTATTTATTTGTTTTTTATTGGTTGTGTACCAGTGGTGACGGGGGCCAGGCAGGATCTTCCCGCCACCTCCACCCTTGTTGTAACCAGTCCTTGAACTTAATAAAATGTGAGTGGGAGTGTCTATGCCCCAGTCTGTGGGGTGGGGAATCCTGCCTGAGCCTGCTTCCCTCAAGTACCAACACTCACCCCTCCCCTGCAAGAAGTGATGCCTCCCACTTCTGTGTTCTCAGCACAGATGTGCTTTGACTCAAGCTTTTAGCAGCTGTGAGACTTTGTGTCAGTTTGTTTCAGACCTTTAAAAACCCAGTGTTGGGGCAGGGGAGTTAGTTCAGTTGGTAAAGTGTTTATTGTACAAGCACAATGGCCTAAATTTGATCCCCAGAACCCACATGAAAATACCAGGTGTGGTGCCATGTGCTTATAATCCCAATAAGGGAGGTAGAGACAGGTGGGTCCTTGGGGCTCATTGGTCAACCAGTATAGACTACTTGGCCAGTTCCAGGCTAGTGAGAAAGCCTGTCTCAAAAAAGAAAATGGATGTTGCTGGAGGGGTGACCCTTGAAGGTCTCTGGCCTCCACATCCCTGTACATCCATGGGGACATGCATACACACAGCCCAGTACTTTCATTGCTCTTAAGCAATAGCCTGTATGTGATGCTGAGGGCAGGGATGTGGCTCAGTGGTAGATTAAATGCCTCCTGTGCCTCAGGTACCAGCACCATAAAGAAAGAAGAAATGTGTTATGGACTCAGACCAGGGCAGACAGCTGTTCTTTGCTTTGAACGAGAGATAGACATTTGCCCAGAAGGCTGCAGCCCCCTCTGGAGAGTATAGGAACAGGAGGGCACTGGATGAGGTCCCACCCTCCGGTCATGTTGGCATCCCCCTCCTTAACTTGTAGATAATGTAGCATTATGTACTCTAAAAAAATCCCAGACTGCAGTTTCTTTGAAGGATGACTCATTCCTAACTCTCGCTTCCCACAACCCTTCTATCACTGCTGTTTATCAGAGTAGACGTTATGAATCCACAATCCATTTGCATGGAGGATGAATTTCACATAGCACACATGACACCGGCGTTCCTTAGAGTACTGTGCAGGGATTTAGAGCTTTCTTCAACCTTTCATGCAAAGTGCAGGACTTTGTCTCAAAAAAAGAAAACCACAGCTGGAGAGAGGGCCCAATTAAGAGCATGGACTGCTCTTGAACTCAGATTGGCAGCTCAAAGCACCACCTGTACCTCTCCAGCTGCACAGGATCTGACCGTTGTTCTGGCCTCCCACACATACACGTAAAAAAAAAAAAAGGCTGTGGTGGCACATGCCTTTAATCCCAGCACTAAGGCAAAGGCAGGTGGATCTATGAGTCCAGCCTGGTCTGAAAAAAAAAGTAACATCTTTGAGCTAAATGAAGCTCCAGCAGGAGAGGGATTTAAAGCATACGAAGGTACAGACATGAGGGGAAGGCCCCTTTGTACTTTTGTTTACATACTGTTTAGAGAAGAAAAGATACTGTTTTGGCCCTCCTGAGTGAGTCAATGGGCTGACCCACCTGTAGATATACTTGGAAATTCAGAAGAAGAAAATCCTAATGTACAATGCTGCTTTCAAATGTAATGGAAGGTTTGAGACTAGTCCAGTTAATATTCCATTGAGTTTGAATACAGTAAACATTAATTTCAGCAGTGCAGTAATTTTGCTTTAAAAAAAAAATAAAGTGCAGGGTAGTAGTGCCACATATATTTAATCCAATCAGAGGCAGGTGATCTCTTGAGTTTGAGGCCAGCCTGTCTACAGATGGAGTTCTAGGACAACCAAAGCTGTTACACAGAGAAACCCTGTCTCTAAAGACCAAAAACAAACAAAAAAAGCCTGTAAGCATTTTGTTTGCATGTGTGTGTGTGTGTGTGTGTGTGTGTGTGTGTGTGTGTGTGTATACCTGGTGCCCATGGAGGTGAGAAAAAGGCATCTGATTCCCTATAATTGGAGTTACAGGCAGTTGGAGGATGTCTATGCCTGCCTATGCTGAGGTTTCCAGAGTTTAAGAAGAAAAACCAACCCAGGATGTGGGTAGCATCATTCCACAGATTGGAGGCCCAGACTGAAGAAGAAAGGGGGCTGAGCCTGGCATTCACTTCTGTTTGTTGACAGCAAACAGTGTGACCAGCTGCCCCATACTTCTGCCACCATGTCTTCCCCACCATGATGGACTGTTGGCCCTCACACCATGAGCCAAAGCACACCTTCCCTCCCTGCCTTTGGTTTTTTACCGTGTAGTCACAGCAATTAGAGTCAGCACAGAAAAGTGCTGTTGGAAGTGGGGCTGCTGTTGGGAGAAGCCTGGCCACGTGGTTCATAGATCTGAACTGGGTTATGGGAGGAATGTGGAAGAGTCCAGAGCTGCTGGCTAGAGAAGTTCAAATGCTATATACAGAGCTTAGTGGGCCGTTAAGGTCCAGAAGATCACAGAGGACAGTGAACAGTAAATACCATACAAGGTTTCAGAGGAGGATGTGGACTCCATCAGATACTGGGCTATCGGCCATTTGTGTTCTATTCTAGCAAAGAATTAGCCTGAAAAGTTGTATGAGTCTGTATTCAAAAGCAATAGACTAGTTTGTTTAGATTTTATTTATTTATTTATTATTTTGATTTTTTAAAACAGGGTTTCTCTGTGTAGCCCTGGCTGTCCTGAAACTCACTTTCTAGACCAAGCTGGCCTCTGCCTCCCAAGTGCTGGGATTAAAGGTTGTCATGGCCTGGCTAGAATTTCCAAGATAGCACTACATCCAAGCTGTGGCATAATTGTAGATCTAAAGTGAAGCTGTGGCATGGTTCTTAGATCTAAAGTGAAGCAGAAAGTTGGAGAGAAACTGGGTAGAGAGAAAACAGTTATAATGGTTAAAGAAATAGTGCCGTGACAGAAAAACTGAGCACTATGCCCGAGACAAGAAGATCCTTTGAGAACAAGACTGCAAACTCTGAAGGAGACTCAAGTTGTGAAAATGCAGTCTTGAACCAGGTGGTGGTGGCTCACAATTTTAGTCCCAGCACTCAGGAGACAGAGGCAGGCAGATCTGAGTTCAAGGCCAGCCTGCTCCACAGAGGGAGTTCCAGGACAGCCAGTGCTACACAGAGAAACCCTGTCTCGAGAAAAAAAAAAAAATGCAGTCTTTAAAGCAGTTTGAAACTGTGGGAGAGATCCCCTGCTCAAACATCACCCGTAGGGAAGGGTTATCTAGGTGCACCCACCAGGGCACACAGACCATGTTACACCTGTGGTAAAGGGTCCAGCCCATGCATCAAGCTGTCAGCAGAACTTGGCAGCATATCTGCAAAGTTCAAGTTTTTCAAGCATGCAGACTGCAAGTCACCAGGTTGTGGAGGTTCCAGAAAACTGCCAGACTAGGCAATGTATACCAGGGTTGGAATCCCTGTAAGAAAGCCCTAAGAGGCCATTATTATTTGAAGCTATGAAAGTGAGGCTCCAGTTAACCAGGACCTCTGCTGAGGAAAGCTGTAGGTGTGGGCCCAAAAGAGGCTCCATGTGCAACAGGCCACAGAATTAGAATGGGTGGGGCTGCTAAGGATGCTAAGACCGGAAGCTTCAGGGTTGGTATTTTCTCTGATGGGTTTCAGGTTTGTTTGCATCTGATCCCATTCTTCCCTTTGGGGATGGGAATGTTTACCATTGCATTCTGGAAGAAACTTGTTCCCTAGTTTTTCTAAGAGTTTATGGCTAAAATTGTCTTGAGTCTCAAGTGAGTCAAAGTCCTGGACTTTGGGCTTTCAGACACTGTTAGAACTGTTCGGACTTTTAGAAATGAACTAAATGTCTTTTGTGATAAGAGATAGATTTGAGAATTTGGGGCCAGAGGTGGAGTGGGTGTATTGAACTGAAGCATTTGAGTTGAGACACAAGTGACTAGCCATCTCCCACTCCTCCCTCTATGCCTTTCTTGATATGATGGACAGTAATGTCAACCATGAGCCAAAACAAACCCTCCTTCCTGAAGTTATTTTGTCAGATATTTTGTCACAGCCATGAGAAAAGTAACTAATACAATGATTTCAAAGTGATATGCTAAGGCATATATAAGGCTTAGGCCTAAGCCCTGGAGGTTGGGGCTTGTGATCTGAAGAGGTCAGACCCCAGGTTGATAAATAAGTGGAAAAGTGACTGCCTGGAAATGTGGGACAGTGGGTAGCCTCCAGGAGGCGCAGCGTTGTGGGGGGGTACCAGCAAGGTACCAGGAGTTGGAGGAGGCACCCCCAACACACACCCTTATCCTTCACGAAGATTTCCAGGTCAATGTTTTCCTCAGCTCCAGCTCTCTGTGAGAGCATAGCCAAGTGCCCTCCCCCTCTAGTTTCCACGTCCTTAAACTGCTATATAAGATGTGGGGGAGCAGGTCAGGTATGGGATCTCTGGGTCCCTCCCCACTCTGTCTTCAAGGACTCAAGTGTGGGAGCCAACTTGGTGGGTGCTGTGAATGGTACCCATGTGCTTCATGGCTCCATGCCAGTGCTGGCTGGAGGAGGTCCAGACTGTGTCAGGGCTGGGGAGGAGATAGAGGGCCAGGAAGGGCATTGCTGGCTGGGACTATATGGACAAGCTAAACCCAGATCCAAGGGCTAGGTTGCAGGACAGAATTCCAAAAGTCTCTGCTGGCTGCTTCAGGGCTTGACCTGAGGGAGAATCTCCAGACCTGGGCTTTGGCCTTGGGGAAGGAAGAGGGAGAAAGCATTCGAACTCAATACCTGCAACCCTCAACTCAGCCAGGAATGATTGACATCATTGCTATTTTCCAGGATCTAGACATTATTCAGAATAATCCAAGACCCTGGGCTGCAGCCCCCAAATCCATGTTCTCCTCTGCCCCTCCTGCCTCTGCTTGGCATCTGGCCACAGCTACTGTTCCCTGGGCAGTTCACCAGGTGGGTGGACACTACGGAGACATGATATACTCAGATGAGCTAGGCTATGAAAGTGAGGCGCCAGGCATTGGGCCTGATAAGTGGATGCCATCACCAAGAGACCCTGAGAACTTCCAGGAGGGCACACAAGGGATTTTATCTCTGTCTGCCTTGCCTTAAAAGCCACAGTGCCTGTT